CTTATTTTTTCTGCTTCAACAAACTAGAATAAAATAAGATGACCTTCAAATTTGGTACATTTCTTTCCTCGTGACAATTCATTACTTTATTCACTACACAAGGAACTGATTCATTTCAACATCTTAGAAATACATCTTTGAAAGCCAGAATTTTTTTTAATGAAACTTGTACAATTCTGAATGTCGTAGGATTTTTTGTTACAATAAAGCTTAGAAAAAGTCTATATTCTCCATAAAAAAAAAAGTTCAGCGTCTTTTTTTTCATATCAAATGTTCCACTTTGTAAAGTTGTTGCATAATTTGGGCTCTAGTCCCACCATTAAAGCTGCCAAATTCTTATTCACCTGAGATGCTGCATCCTAAAAAAAAGCCAGTGTTCACACTAAATGATGGTGGTGTAACACAAGGCACGGCTAATTGGAGATTAGTTACGAGTTCCCCTTTCAGCACACTGCTGTGTAAATAACAGTATTCCTTTTCCATGCTTTGATCCTAATTTTCAGGGAACTCTCTGCCAAATCAAACTCGTCAGAGTAACTGCTTCAAGAGAAGAATAAGGCTTTCTTCCTGCAGAAACTGAACATTGTTTAAATCTCCGATGACTGATTTGGCCACCAATGATGTCTGTCAATACGAGCTGAGAGCCTACAGATTAGCATTTCAGTGGAATCCTATAAAAGGTAGCTTACCTTTGCATTACAAATCACTAGTGGGTGACTTAATAGAAGTACGTGTTGTCCACATGGAATTACAGTAATGTTTCTTATTTTCACGGTAATGACCATGCATTATTCAAGCAATGTGAATGTATTTGCTCCATGTACACTTTGCTGTAAGAAAATGAAAAACAAAACAAACTGATTGGTGTTACAACTACAGACTACAGTCTCAACTAATAGCATGCTTTATGTGTGGGTCTGATAAGAGGGAAGAAAACAGAAACACATGAAAGAAAGAAAAAGTATGAAACTGTCACATTTCTTTTTTTGTCAGTGTCAGGCCTATTATGTATGGACATTTGACACTTGGTTTTAAATGTAAAATTACAATTCTTAATACTTTAGGTAACTGTATTTAACAGCAGGATTCCTCTAGGCTGAAATTCATGGATTTGAAGTAAAATACTAGGTTGATTCCCTTAGCTAAACCCCTCACTTAGGAGCAGATTTAGTAGTGGGAAAATCTGCTGACATTGTGTGCCGTTGTACCATAGCGTTGTACACACTGACGTGGCTAAAGATGTGTTTTTATTCGATTCAAGGTCATTTGGTTTTTGCTCAGGTTTTGCTGACATTTGCTTGTGATCTAATTCATCATGGAGAGATGCATCACTTTGGGGCTGGGACTTGTTTCTCCACTTTCCTGGCACAAATGACTCCTCATTCCCAGAAAAGGAACATACTAATGCTCTCTCTCTATCGCTCACACCCTGACAACATGTGCACCAGACTGCATCTCCTCATTGAATGACCGTGTGAATGTACCTCATCAACGAATGAGTCACTGTACTACTCTGCTATTATGATGATTTCTCCCTTCTGTGTATTACATCATGCAACGGAGGGATCTGCACAGTTACATTCACCACAATAAACACTCTTGAGTGCACTCATTTCGACTGTGCAGGGGTTTATATTAGTCAGAAATCACTGTTTGGTAGATCCTCTAGAATCATTTTATATCTTTTTAATATCCTATGCATTTATGGAGAGTAAAATGTTAGACGTTAGGATGGCCAACAACATTTGCCCCGCAAAAACACTTGTAACATCACTTGTAACCTGCTTCCTTTAGATGTCTCTGGGGTTAAAGGTCAATGAATAATGCATTTTTCACTGTCACATTGATTCACATATGCCATTAGGTGTAGGTGGGCTTTCAGAATAACTATGATAGGGTCTACACACTCAAAGCCATTACAGTTATTGCAAACCTTTTTCAGTAAGCAGATAGTAGGACCAATCAATAACAGCGGTTATCGGGCCTAAATGCTGAATTTCACGTCGGCGAGAATATGAGCACTATTGAGGCACACCAATATTCTACATATAGCAGCTGCAAATTGGTCCCTTGTGCTTTAATCACACATGCAGTTCAAATCATTGACTTTGCAAATCATTACATCTCACAAGGCATTGTGTTGAAGACTAATGTATTGAAAGGATGTTATGTAGAGAAGATACTACATGGATGGGAAGAATAATTACAATCCAGCTGCTAGCTCTTACATTAGTCCAAAACAAAAGATTAAACTCAACTCTTATAGCAGTGTAAGATTTTAGAGGCAGAGAAGTACAATAGCGCTTGCCTCATTCTACACTGCAGAACATTGTCTTAATTTAATTTATTTTGTGTTTATTTAATAGTTATTATGTAGGACACAACAATAAGTGAGGACTAATTCAATGGCATAAAAAGACATCCTTAGGCCACTTTTCTTGTGTGTGCACTATTTTAAGCTCCACTTATGATGTTCAAATTAAACATCTCTGTGTTAATGGAATCCCACATAGCGGATTGTGCGGGGAGGAGAGCAGATGAATCTGTATTCCCCGAATGTGTCTGAGCAAAAATCAATAAATGCAAGCACAGCTACTCGCTTCTGACGGCTGTCCCTGTCTTTGCATGGTGGACTAATAGAAAAATAATAATTAAATCCAAATCACCACATTAATTTGTTTTCCATCAGTCTCAGGAGAGATCTTTTTTTCCCTGTTTCTTTAGTGGCTCATTATACTTTCTAATCAAGACAAAAAAAGTCCCTCTTTTAGACAGACATGCTGTCTCCCTTCCCCCTTCACTTCCCTGTGGTGTGCTTTCTCGCATTGCAGTCATTGTGCTGGCACTTATTATGTTACAAATGACCGAGGTACGGCAGGCATTCTCAGTGTGCATGCAAAGAGGGCCCACCCTTCTATGCTGCTAGTGCCTTCTCCTAATGACGATGCTCAGAGTGCCCCCCGACGCCGCCCCATGCAGCCCTCTCCCCCATTCCCGCCCCCATGTGCTCTCTTTAATGAAGATTCTCCAATGCAATTAAAAATCCTTGCTTCTTGCTGCTACTGTATGACAAACGGAACCACTGTCATTCCTCATGGCCTGTCATTCCTGCTACAAGAGGCGGAGGAGATGGAGAAATACACCAGGGTGCCAGTGGCTAGAGACAGATAGAGAGGATTGTGTGTGTGTGTGTGTGTGTGTGTGTGTGTGTGTGTGTGTGTGTGTGTGTGTGTTTGAAGAAGAGCAAAACCCCCCATCTCAACAGGTAATGGAAAGGGGCCGAGAAGAAAATCAATGACCAAAGAACATGGAGAGCAAGCTTATAAAATGGCTTTAACTGCACACCCTGAGCTGAATAAGGGGTTCTGTATCCATCCTCCGAACTCGGGAGATCATGAATGTTTTATCAGACCTACACCCCACCACCACCTTTTGCTTTTTTATCTCTGTTTTTACATTAAAATGATTTCTGAGTAACATTATTGCAATTCTTGCAATAGCATCAAAAACGTCAGGGTGACACTTAAGGAGGTTGTGACGTAGCAGCAGAGAGAAAGCAAGAGTGAGAAGAAGAAAAAAACAAAACAAATACATTTACAGTCATTTATAATGTTTATGAAGCATTAATATGAATGTGCCTGTAAACCAGCACTCCATCATGCGGTTAACAATGAGTTCATTGTTTGCATGTGATTTATTGGGTGTCTATAAACTAACAGCGGACAGTATGTTAATCCAGTATAATACCTGTTAAAATGGAAACTACCAGGGGTGGTGTGACATGTAGAGATACACACACCAGTTGGCTCTGGCCCTGTGACCCATCCTCATCAGGGTGGGGCATATAAGAACAGTTGCCCACTCCATCTGCAAAAAAAAAAAAAAAACTCCCCACCACCCCACCCCCTTGTTGTTTTCCAGTTGAATGAAATAATCTTCCCCCGTCTGGAAACCTAGTCTGGGTCAGAGGGCCTGCGTTCAGCCTGTTGCTTATTGTGTGTTCAGAAGAGGAGGTAAAGCATACAATTAGGCACAGATGGCTGTCTTTGCCAGGCAATGTATTGATCCTATCCCGAGGAAGATCTGTCCCATTTCTGTTTTTGTTTGGCAATTGCCTTCTAAATTAGAGCCTTTGTGAAATACATTTGTATTTGTTTGATCATTTATCTTCTGAGGGGTGGACACACTTTAGGGATCTATAGAGATACAACATCACTGTAACTATAGATATATAGATAGAGATAAATCCTAATTGACCATTTAACTAAATAATAACTGTACATATATTTGTATTTGTGTGGATGAGACCATTTTTAAATCAGCCTTTTTATTTATGTCGATTTAATCATTATTGGTGATTCCACCTTAATCCATCATCCCCCGAGCCTTCAGTTTCTTGAATACCAATTTTATCTGAATAAATGAAATCATTCAATCATCAACTTTGTTGAAGATTGATTAAGTGGACCTAATTTAAAAGCCAAATGCCAAATATACTCTGGTAACAGGTTACACTAATAATGAACTCCTCTTTATTCATAAAGCACATCCTAAATCCATAATCAAAACAAAATCCTATGCTGTTGTATGAAATAGAAATGTTGACAATGTCATGTAAAATGCTAATATTTTAATAAATTCAGACTATAATCGACATCGAAATGATTAATAAAACGAATCAAAGTTGTATAAAAGTTGTGTCTTATAGAGTGGAAAACGTTAATAAATGTTTTTTGTCTATTTATTTATTATGTTATTTGTTTACAATAGTGGCCGATAATGGCCATATGTCTATATGGGTTAAGCCGCTACTATCATAAATAAAGTTACCGTGAGATCGCTGCCAGATCTGTGTGTGCTAATGACAACATCGCGTTTAAAGTAATAACGGACAATAACAGTATCCTCTTCGCTTACTACGGCCGCTGCACAAATAATAAGTTTTCTTTGTGTGGCAGTAGTGAGCTGACGTCAGGTCGGTTCCTTGAAGTGGAGCTGAATAAACCTTGAGAAGAGTCTCCTTCAATCTGCTGTTAGTAACTAACACACACACACTCACACACCGAGACTCAATTACTGCCCAATTCCCTTCTTTATCATTCGTCCCCGACCTCTCTTTCATAACCAAAACCGACCAAGGAAAAAAAGAGGCAAGAAGAAGACCGAGCCGAAGTGTTAGTTGAACTAAACCGCACGTTGGAAATAAGTAAAGTGTCGAAACTAAAAAAAGGTAAGTGTTTTATTTCTCTGACGCTGTTTTCCCCCTCATCACAGAACAAGCGATGAGCCGCGTAGATCTGGCTTCGGCTCTACTTTCTTAGCTTCTTCTTTTTCAGCTTGTGTAAACTGCTTATTAGATTGTTTTACACTGTAATTCGTGTAGTCGGTGTAGTAGATAGCGGTAGATTCATTGAAATATGGAAAGTTTGTTTCTCTTTAATATAAAAACGAAGGGTTTTTCTCCCTTCCTCTTTTGAGTGGTGACCTGATAGTGGGAATCGTCTTTGTGTCCCTCTGCTTTTCTCTCGTACCTTCCACTTAGGCTATTTTATAACTTGTTTAATGGTCGAGAAATTAAACTTTTTAAAGAGGGGGTTCGTTGTGGTCTCTGTTCTGCTTTTAAAAACCGTGTGGTACTCGGTTTTGGTTGCGTTTTTGATGCTGGATGTTCCGTAACCGTCAACGTTAAAGGGGTAACTGCCGCTGGTCCTCGCTGCAAGTCCGTTAAAGCCTATCCAGTTTAACAGTCCCTCGACGCGAAAATAAAACAATTATCAACAAATACATAAATATCCCATTCGTTTCGGATTAACTTGGAGGTGTATTATTCGTTTCTTTTTCAACAGCGGGTCAGAGTTTTTTAGCTTTTCGTGTAGCTGGTGTAATCTCCGGGCAGCCTGCCTCGGAGCTGCTATCGCGGTCGCTTCCTCAAACCGAGAGGCATGCAGCTAGCAGCGGCTTGGCCGAGTTGTTGAAATGTATCCCTTTGTGTATATTACAATATCCTCCATTTTTTCTGCCCCTTCCAAAACAACAAGCCTCTCGCCATCTTGGTTATTTTAAATTCGTCCCCCAAGCACTTCTGCCTCCCCCCTACCCTAACTATCTCTGACACAAACAGACAGGCTACTTTAAAAGGAAATGGATCCACGTTTTTTTTGTGGCAAGTTTAACCAAAGTTTGAGAGTTGTTAAGACAAATGAGGAAGAGGATCTTGTGATTTTCTCGAAAGAAAATGAAGGTGTTTAATAGATTGTCAGCAATCATTTCAAAACTATTTGTTTTTATCTGAACGAGGGGACAGTTTGTGTTGTGGCCGAGACGTTTGCTGTTAAAACAAATACAAAGTGACGTAATGTGATATGTCATGATTGTGTTTGTTTGGAGAGACAGGTGGACATGGTGGTCGCCTACAACCTCAATCACAAAAGTGCACATTCTAAATGTATCCTATTTGTTTTTAAATGTTATTCAAAAGTTTACTCAGTAGCCTACTGCTTTCTGTGTATCTTTCCAACTGAACATGAATGAATGAAGGAAGGGAGGAGGAGGGAGAGAAGGAAGGAAGGAAGGATATTAATTACCAAGAATCCTATTAAGGGGAGAACAGTCGAAATGAAATGTAACTGGATGTAACTGCCAAATAACAAGTGATTAGAAGTCTTTTGAATTGCACGGTTGTTTGAAATAATTATGTGATTAAAAAAGGTATTTATTGGCCTGTAAATGAACCTTTATTGGTTTAGTCTTATGGTGTTGTTTAGACTACACAGAGTTGAATTGATGGAAGATTGATCGATTTTTCAGATTGACACATAAGACATGCACACTTGCACGTGCATCTCTTGTCATTTCACACACATGCACGGTTGAATCACCCCTGACTGAGATATAATAATACTGTTTTTGCAGCAGTTAAGAAAACTGACTCCGGTAAAATGGTGACCTTAATTATTTGTCATCCATCTTACAAAAAGGTGTCATTTTAGCTTGGGCATTTGCTCTGTCCCTCACAGATAAAACTTGAGCTCACTTTCTTCCCCCATGTCCTGTAAGCAGTTTAGAGAGAGGAGGGGAAAGGAAAACAAACCGAACAAATGCTTTGAAATGGAAAATCTGATCATTTCACCTCCCACCTCTTTTGTTTGCCCGTTTATTGCTGCAAAGCTGGAGTGCAGAGGAGCAGATGTTTAGCCAAACATGAAGGCGCGGTGCCTCTGTCCTTATGGGGATGGCTCTCCCTCCTCTCCCTGCTGATGCATCGACATGACAGCTGCTTGATTTCATGGAGCTGCTAAGAAGCCATTAGTGGTATCAGTGAATTGAAACAGAACAATGTCTCACAGTTTTCCACCACTAACTATCTGTTGTTGGTGTCGTTTTGGCCAGATTTCTTTGAAAATGTGTGTGTTTATATGTGCGCTTGCTGCAGCTAAACATACTTACCAACCCACAGAAGAAATATATTTGTGCAGTGTGTGTTCCCATAATTTGTAAGAGAGTGAGCAAGAGTGAAGAAAGGGGAACAAATATGTCAGAAATTGTTTGCCATGTTGGTTTGAAATGAAAACACACTGAGCTACCTCAAGCACACTCAAATCAGAGATGTCTCTTCTTTCCAGGCCAAGAAAAACCAAAAACCTCTCCGATAGAGTTTTAATCTTTATCCCTCTCTTTTTCTCTCTTTGCTTCTCTTTCTTTCTCTCTCTCAAATTGGAACTGTTGTTTTTTAAGAGATAAAGGAGGACTTCTGCTTGACTTGAACATTCAGGAATTAAGGATAGACATAGTTAAGCTCTATTTGCATGTCTACCAAAGTCACAGCAAACGGTTGCTATTGACTAAGCTGATTAGGTGAAATTAGGTTCACGAGCTCTGTGTCTGGGGGTGCTGAATCTGACAGAACTTGGACAGCTTTTGAGAAGACAATCCCATGTGCACACACATGGCTGTATTCTCTGTAATCCTTTACTATTGAATATGAGGATATCTTTTTTTTCTTTGGAAAATGAAGTGAAGTGAGATGTATTAGGTGTGCATGATATATTGATCAAGTCATTTGTATGAAGCAACACTTGCCCATATGTTTTTTCTTGTAATGGAAGTGTGCATAAGAGCAAACAAGTGCATACGTGTGAATGTAATGTGTTTCTGCTACAATATACTATCTCTGTTGTAACAATCGCTCACCTGTTCTGAAAATATTAAACTGTTGTGATGATTAATGATGTACAAAAATATACCAAAAGGGTGCTCATCCTTTCAAATGACTGCAGAAACGTGATTATTAACTCAGGACAAGAGTGAGTCTGGCAGTGTGTTGAGATGTTTGCTTTTGTAGGGATGGCACTTGTTTTACACTTCAATGCTTTAATTCGGAAATATTATGGTTGTATCAGTATTGGTAAAATTAACATAGAAATGATCATTTATTTAAAATGTTATAAAACGTTCAGTATTGCACATATCTAACAACGAGTTTGTTGCTGGTAAAACATCACTGACTTGAGTGAGGTAGGCAGTATATGACAGACAAAATGTTGATGCCAGATGTATGTACCTTTTGCGTCAAAACGTATTTGACCAAGATACTTTTGTATGCGTATAAAGTCTGTGTATGACTTCTACCCTAAATATTCCTTGCGATTATTATCACTATTTTAAATTTAGACAGAGATTCATTAGACCCAAAAACAATCTTTGATAATAATGGCCATCTGGGAGGCCTGTCAAATCTCTGCATGTGAGCGCTGACACGGAGCTGTGAAATGTAGAGAGGAAGTAGAGGTCTGCTCTGTGTTAACCAAACGATTCAAGAACTAATGTTAGACGGACTCCTGATCATATTTTCTCATCCCTCACCATCGCACGCAGAAAACTGTAATGACAAATCAAATAATGTACCAAGAAACGGAGGACTTTAAAAAGATGTTTTTGGAAGTTGACATTAATCCTATAAGGGCTAATGGTTCTTTGAGAAGAAGATGCGTTCAAGCGACAGCCCTAAAAGCTTCCAGGCATGAGATTGATAATGCCTCTTATTGTTACAGATCAAATTGGAGCTGCTGTGTCTGTCCTGGCCTGCTGTTGTGTGCCTGCATGTTACAATACTCACATATTGATACGTGTTTACATGGCCTCCCAGCTGGAAGGTTGGTTAGCTCTCAGATCATCTACCTAACCTTATGTTACCTTGCTATTTTGGTAACACTGCAGGTTCACAGGCTGTCCTGATAATCACCATGGTACACAATAATTGTCTAAAGTGCATGCCCAGTGACTACTTTTAATGTCATCCTCCATACTCTGGCTTTATCTGAGCTGACATTTCGGGCCTGTTTCTGTACAATGAGAAATACATCTACATTTTGAAAGCCAGGCTAATGAGATAGGGCACATATGCCTCCTGTTGTAGAAACAAATGAACAATCTCAACTGTTAATTAAGTCTAAACAAATCAACAGCCGCTTTAGTTGTCTCTACATTTTTGTGTGGATTACATATGGTGGATTAATTACCAGACAATAAACAGTGTAAAGTGCAAGTGGGTCACCCCGCGTTGACTTTCAGGAGAAAGAAGACAGAGCGGCCAAATTTGGGAGGGAAAGACGATAAGCTGCTTCTTTGCTGTTCGTCCCCTGGGCCTCTATTTATCATTCAATGTGAGAATTTCCTTGATGAAAGTCAAGGTTGTTTGTGCTCGCTCTGTCTCGTTTGGATGCCTGTTTTTCCACCAGCAAGGTGAAAAGGTTGATTTTACCCTCCAAAGAGATGCCTTGTTTGGAAAGTCCAGGCTAGTTTCTTTTAATGAAGTCTCCAAAGGTCCTGATGATTTTTCCATTTCAAGGCTACTTTTGTTTTCCACATCAATGAGGAGGCAGAGATACAGATGTACTTCTTGTTTTTCTGGAGCCATACAACAGCTTGTATACAAGTCCTTATAATTCACTGTTTGTGTGCATCACCTATTCATGCGGTGAAGACATAGCAAAGAAGGTTTTCACTTTATGTGAGCTGAAAGGATCTATTTAATGTGTTCTTTATAAGAGTGACAACAAATATGGCAAGATTATGAATGCGTTTCTTCCCCTGAAAAGAAATCACATTTGTGTTATTTGGCTTCAAGAAAAAGAGACATTCAGGATATTTTAACAAAACTGAAAAAGGATGTGTTGATACAACGAAAAGATGATCTATCACCAAGAAAACAAAAAGTGTTTTTGTTCATTT